AATATTACCAGTTGCTAAAGAAAAAAATTATTGCTACCGCATATACGGTTACTTTATGTTCCGATATAATAAAGACATGAAAGACAAAACGACGATTTTGTAGCGACATACCTTTAAAAACATTTGTTTGTATGTTGACAAAAGGTAAAACGTTCATTTTTGCTATAGAAGCGTCTGTTTTTGCTAAGAAATAAAGAAAAACGTAACTTTCATTAACAAAACGTCCAAAAATATGATTTTAAAATGCGTAAATGTCATTTGTTATTTTAAAACATTAAAAGTGTCGTTACTTTTCAAAAAGATTAATGGTTTTTGTTCAAAAACATCATTCTCGTTATTTACACATTTTATAACAACATTGTTATATTGTGACATAACGACTTTTGCATTCGTTTTTGCCACAAAACGATAAATTGCATCGCTACAAAATATAATTTTTTTTTTTTAATAAAAAAACCGTCTAAAACGATTTTTATTTTTAACGTTTTTGTAGATATTTTTAACGTTTTTGTAGATATTTTTAACGTTACAAAACGTCAATAACGACTGCGTTTTGTCACAAAAACACATTTTATTACTACAAACAGTACAAATCGACAAATTATTTGCGACAAAACGTTCAGAATGTAAGTGGAGTTGAGCTGGAGAAAATAATTACTAGTTCATACCCTAGATATGGTTGAACTACTTAGAAAAACATTTGTTGGTTTCTCAGGTTAAACTTTGAAGTCCATCAACTCTAATGATATCGATTTAATGTGGAAATGCTGCGTGTAATGTACATGTGTTTAAAACTCAAGATGTATGTATAAAAAAAACTTAAATTGAATGTAAACAAAAAAAAAATAACCAAATTAAAATTTAAAGAAACAGCATCAACATAACAGATTATAAAGGTTAGATGCGAAATTTGCGAGATTTTTGGAAACGACAACAAAATAAATTAACGTTTTTGTAGAGTTTCATGCAAGAAAAAATTTTGAACAAATTTGTCATTTCAGAAAAAGGCAAATTTCGTATCAATAAATATTATTTAGCTATAGAGGGTGATTTTTTTTAAATAGGTTTTTTCATTTAAATGCATTAAACATTTTTTATAATTCTTTTTTAAATGGATGTCTGGATTGAGATCAATTTAAAACATTCTATTAAGAAATACATTTTGCAATGTACCTCTCAAATTATTTAATTCATTATAAGGGTTATCCGTTAGTGTGTCAAGATAACAAAAAAAAAAAAAAATTAAACATTTAAAAAATAAACAAAAACAGTGAAAATTTAATAATGTAAATTTTGAAAAAAGTTACAGGATGAAATACAATGACCATCAAATAGAATGTTTGGGATAAGAATAAAGCATAAAAAGTTATGTAGCCAAACAAATTTCTATTAGTTAAGGGTAACTTTTAACACCCTGTACATCGAAAAATGTAATATATTAGAAACACCTCACTATATGTAAAAATATATCTACAAATAAGTAGATGCTTTTTTTTGACACAATAAACTTGTTTTAAAAATGTCGACACACTAACGATCTATCCATTAATTGTATTTATTACGAGGGTTTATCAAATATTAGTCATAAAAAAGGAAAAAAAAATCACCCTGCACTTATATCATTAGATACCAGTGTGCACTACGTGAAACAAAAGTCTCAGCCGATAAAGATAACTCTAAAAACAACTACAAATTTCAATAATACATTTACAATAATCAATAGATTTTTCTTTTAAATTGTTTAGAATAATATACACTAGAATACGTCCGTCCGTTCGAGGCAAATAAAAACTTTTTTAATATTTTTACAATTTCGTATCACATTTTACACAAAAAAAGAGGAGAGGCAAATTTAAAAAATCAGTCACACGGTCACCAGTGTTTTTACGCGGAACAGTCTTGGGAGAGAGGTTCTTTTTTTATATAGGTCTATCGTATTATACAGGGGGCCCGAATAAAGCGTGCGCGCAAAAATTGAATGACAGATTCCTTGTCGAAACTAACGAATTTCTGCATGACCGAGTATCCCAGAAATACGTGTCAACATTTTATTAACTACTGAATCATTTTTAAAATAATCTGGCACATAAATTTTAAATTATCTTAAAGCCATGATAGATTTAAGCTATAAACATGCATAGTATTAAAAAATTGTGATTGTAATCTTAATAAAGTAAAAAAAATACGATTTCAAAAGCAACATAACGTTTTGTTGATTAAAAATGTCAAAAGCTTTGTACCTTTAATTCAAAACATCCAACGATTTTTGTAGTCAGATAGCTTTAAAAACACTGTTCTCGATTTTGTAGCGATGGGCCATAAGAAGCATTGTTTTAACTGTAACGAACAAAACGCCGGATTCTTGCTACAAAACATCACATGTCAGTATTTGTTAAAAAAGACCGAAAGCGTTATTTGTCCAAGTCAAAAAGTCAACAACGTAAAAAAATGTGTTTAAAATGTCGTTTTTGTTACAAAACATCATAGTTGGAGTTTTAAAAAGTCAAAAATGTTGTCACCTTTAATTCAAAACGTGTTGCAACACAAAAACAATTCTCCGATTCTTGCTACAAAAATAGGCGTTGCTACAAAACACCACGTCATCGGGTTTTGCTACAGAAGGTCTAAAACGTTATTTGTTAAAGTCAAAAAATCAATAATGTAATGACATATCTTCTGAAACTTAAAAATGCGTTTACAGCGTCGTTTTAAAATGGAAGAAGTGTTATGAATTTTAATTCAAACTGTTCAAGTGTTTTTGTAGTAAGAGAACTTCAAAAAAACACAATTATCGTTATAAAAACGTCTAGAACGACGATTTTGTAGTGACAGACCTTCAGACGCATCGTTATAATTTGACATGTAGAAAAAAACGACTGATACTTTCTACATGTTTTTGCTATAAAAGGTCGATAATGACAAAAGTGTGTACCTTTAATTTAAAAAGTCTAACGGTTTTTGTAGCAAGAGACCTTAAAAAACAATTTTCGTTAAAAAACGTCTAGAATGACAATTTTGTAGCAACAGACCTTCAAAGGCATCATTTTATTGTGACATGTGATAAACAAAACGTCCAAGTACTTGCTACAAACATGTATTTTTGCTACAAATGTCGAAAACGTGATTTGTAAAAAGTTAATAATGTAGCGACAAACCTTCGTAATTTATTGGGCCAAAACGTTTAAAAAGATGCTTTTAAAATTAGTAAATAAGGTCTATTTTAGTAACAAAAACGTTATATTAGCCTTTTTAAAACATCACATAATCCGTTCTTGTTACAAATGGTTTCAAAACGTTTTATGTATAAGTTAAAAAGTCAAAAACGTAATCTTTAAAAACTTCGTTCTCATTTAAAACGACGATTTTGTAGCGACGGAGCTACAGAAACATCGTTTTATTATGATATATAACAAATTAAATGCCCAATTCTTGTTACAAAACGTCGATAGTTTCATTTACTTTGAATTGAAACGTTGTTACAATAGTAACAACCCTAAAACAATGAGTTACATTGATACAAAACATTCATCATCAGTTTTCGCTACAAAAGGTCGAAAACAGTATTTATTTGACAAAAAGTTAACAATGTAGACATTCAAAACGACTAAAACGTCAATTTATTGCTACAAAACGTTTAAAACATTATTATTATTTTTGCTACAAAACGTCGATGGTATAATTTGCTTTGAATTAAAACATTGTAACGATAATTACATTAGTACAAAACGTCTAAAAGTACTTTTTTATGTACTAAAAACACAAACATTCAATAAAATTAACTTAAATCGCGCATTAAATTATAAGTGGTCTTTTAAAAACGTCATACAAAGAACTCGTTTTAATTTTCAATAAGGAATCTAATCTTCAACATTTCGACGGGTCGTTTCGTAACATTTCAGCGGCGAAATTAACGTCTAGCGTTTTTCATTTGTCAACAGAAACGTCTATTCCAAACCCCAATTCGTACAATTGACATCCTGTTATATTTCTTCACTATTAGAAAAATCGAAGACAATTTTTAAACAAAGGCTTTAATATTATATCACATTTCTGAATCGTATTATAGTTTTAAAAACCGTTTAAAACAGAGCTTAAAAATACAGGGTGGTCCACGATAATCGACGTTTTTAGTATAAGTTAAATTGTGCAGAATTTAAAACTATTCAATTTTGTATAGCGATATGTCAAAATTAAAGTTTAACAAGACGAGTTGTAATATTCGAGTTGTTTTTTTTTAATATTTAATGTATGATAAAATAAATTAAACTTTAATATGTATGTTACTTTTTAGACTACAGAACAATGTGACTAATCCAAGAAAACCTATAGGAATCCCTATACAGGGTGGGCCGCCAGTAACGCCTCGGTTTGTAGCGCCAAAACTAATTGCTTGTTTATAAATCTGTTTTCACAACGAGATGTATATTAAAAAAAGCAACAATTTAAAAATAATTTCAATTATACAGGGTTTTCCAGAAAAGTAATACATACCTTTAAAGGGACATTCTGTATTTTATTTAATATGTGAAATTATCCTGTGTAATCCGATACTATTTGGTATTATTATGGTGGGAAAACTGAAGGCATTTCAAATATAAAATAAAATACAGGATGTCCCATTTTAAAGAACATAACTTTGACAATCATCAGTTTTCTAGAAAATTCTGTAAAATTGAAATATTTTTCAAATTGTCGCCTACTCTAATTTACATCTCGCTGTGAAAACAGGTGTTATCGGTGGACCACCCTATATAAAATGCACTTAATTGGTCCGAAAAACAATACTTTGATACGTCGCGAGTTTCTACCATTTAAATTGTAAAAAAGGCCACCCTGTATATACCAACACAGCGCTTATGTCCATCGAAAACGCCTAAAACGTTCATGTCGCCACCGAAACGGTTACAAAGTCTTTTTTAAGTAACGATTCTCGGTAATTCGAAATTTTTCTAAAACACGACATACACCGATACACAATTCTTTGTTTAGAAGAGACTCACCCTCCGCCACCGTCCATGCCGTCTTCCTGCTTGCCCATATTCATCAGTTTCTCCGGCCTGCCGCCGCCGCCCCCCATGATGGCGGGCTTGCCGGGCGGCAGATTCTGCATCGCTTCAGACTGTTCGCGAATTTGGCGTTTGCGTTTTTTGCTCCACAGTTCGTGGCAGTCCTGCCACGTGGGAAGTTCGGGAGCTGAGATCCTGAGAGAAAACATTTTTATTTAATATATTTTTTTTAATTAATCTTATAGTTTTTAAAATTATCACCAATCTCCGTTGGACATGCCCAAAAATTAATTTTCATGGAAGACGCATCACTAGTTTTTAGTACCCCATTAGAAATAGTCCCATACCTCTTTAGCATAGAAACAATGAATGAAATAAAAATTCGTAAAAAAAAACAAATGTGGAATTGTATTGCAGAATAATTGTATTATTACCACAAATACATAAGGCTTTTTTTGTTTTTTAATGATTCTATCATATATTTTTTTATATAGGAAAAATTACAGCAAAAATGGGCACCATTTTTTAGAATTACATTTTTTTGTGAAATTTTCTTTGATAATAAATGGTAAACTCAGGAAAATTTATATAAAAAATCTAAAAATATATCTAGTTATTTACAACACTCGTTTTTTTTTTTTTTGAAAAATAAAGCAAACTATTTTTTAATTGTTTTTTTGAGTTTAAATTCAAAATAGTGTCATCAGACACATGGGGAAAATCACAACAAAAAAGTTCTTTATATAATTAAATTTTCTATCATTGTTGTAGGAAACTTTTTCTCTATCAATAATAGCACAGGAAAATTTACATACATATTAACACACTTTTTTAAGACAAATACCATAAGGTGTTGTTTTTTAATGATTTAATACATTTGTTTTTAAGTTTAAATTAAAATAACATCATCAGCACAGGAAAATTTATATAAAAAAAACACAAAAATGTAAAGGGAACTGATATATCTCCAGTAATTTGAAAAAACACCATTAATATTGAGATTTTGCAAAAAAATAAAGTAAACGATTTTTTTAATGATTTTAAATATATTTTTGAGTTTAAATTCAAAATGGCGTCAGATGTATTGGAAAAGACACAGCAAAGAAGTTCATGTTCTTATTTTATATAAGTAATTTTTTTTTTATTTTTGTATGAAACTTTTCCCTGACTATAAATAAGGAAAATTAATATAAAAAACACAAAAGGATGCTGGAAACCGTTATATATCCAGTAATTTGGATAAACGCAACAATATTAACTTTTTTGGGACAAAGACAGCAAGCGGTTTTTTAAAATGATTTTATATATTTTTGAGTTTCAATTAAAATAGCGCCATCAGAAGCGTGGGAAAAATCACAGCAAAAAAATACTTATATCCTATCATTTTTACAGGATACTTTTTCTCGACTATAAATAATGGCACAGGAAAATTTACATACATATTTACACACTTTTTTTTTAAACAAATACCACAAGCAATTGTTATTTAATGATTTAATACATTTTTTTTTTGAGTTTAAATTAAAATAGCGCCATCAGCACAGGAAAATTTATATAAAAAACATAAAAATGTAAAGGGAACTGATACATATTCAGTAATTTGGAAATACACCATTAATATTATGGGGTTTTTTGAGTTTAAATTCAAAATGGCGTCATCAGATGCATTGGGAAAATAACAGCAAAGAAGTTCATGTCTTTATTTTAAATTAGTAAATTTTCTATTTTTTTAAAAAACTTTTCCCCGACTATAAAAAATAGCACAGGAAAATTAATATAAGAAACACAAAACTGTTATATATCCAGTAATTTGGATAAACGCAACTATATTTACACACTTTTTTTTTGGGAGAAAGACCTCGACTTTAATAGTAATTAACAATGCAAGAAAATTCAAATAAAAAAACAGAAAAAGGTGGCTGTCAACAATTATATTCCCATTTTTTGCCCTCTAAATTCAAAACGGCGTCATGAGCTGTCTTAAAAAACTCACATCAAAAAATGGTCATAACATTTTTCAGATTATTAAATTTCCTATATATTGTAGTAGGAAACTTTTTCTAGTAGTTCAGAAGCTAATATTCTGAGTTAAAAAATTGTTTTCCATTTACATATTTTTGCGAAATTTTCCTGTACTATAAATGATAGCTCAGGAAAATAAAAAAAACCGAAAAAGGTGTTTAAAAATGGTCAAACTACTTTTTTTAAAGTGATTGTATACTTTTTTTAGAATCTAAATTCAAAATGACATCATAAGCTGCATTAGACAACTAACAGCAAAAAATGACCGTAACCTTTTTTTAGATCATTTAATTTCCTATTTTGTAGGTAACTTTTTCTAGTAGTTCAGATCCTGTGAGAAAACTTTTTTTTTATGTACATAATTTTTTAGTAGTTCAGTAGCTGAGAACCTTCCAGAAAACATTTTTTTTTTTCCTTTTACATATTTTGCGAAGTTTTCCTAGACTATAAATGATAGCACAGGAAAATTTTAATAAAAAACGGAAAGGAACTTGAAACAGATAAATATTCAATAATTTGAAAAACACCACTATCACAGCAAAAATGGCCATCACCTTTTCTTATCTATTTTGTACGTAACTTTTTTTAGTAGTTCTGATCCTTTGAGAAAACATTTTTTTTATTTACATAATTCAGAATTTCAGAAGCTGAGAACTTCCCAGAAAACATTTTTTTTTTCTTTTACTTATTTTGCCACATTTTCCTAGACTTATAACTGATAGAACAGGAAAATTTTAATGAAAAACAGAAAAAGGTGCTTGAAAAACACCACTATCACAGCAAAAATGGCCAACACCTTTTTTTATTTATATAATTTTTAGTAGTTCAGAAGCTGAGAACTTTCCAGAAAACATTAGTTTTTCCTTTTGCATATTTTGCGAAATTTTCCTAGACTATAAATGATAGAACAGGAAAATTTTAATGAAAAACAGAAAAAGGTGTTTGAAACAGATAAATATTCAGTAATTTGAAAAACACCAATATCATTTCGTATTTTCTTTTCACAAACACCATAAACTACTTTTTTTGGAGTCTAAATTCAAAATGGCATCATAAGCTGCATTGGACAACTCAAAGCAAAAAATGGTCATAACTTTTTTTATATTATTTAATTTCCTATCTATTTTGTAGGTAACTTTTTCTAGTAGTTCAGATCCCGTGAGAAAACATTTTTTTTTATTTACATAATTTTTAAGTAGTTCAGGAGCTAAGAACCTTCTAGAAGACATTGTTTTCCTTTTAAATATTTTGCGAAATTTTCCTAGACTATAAATTATAGCACAGGAAATTTTAAATAAAAAACAAAAAGGTGCTGAATTTAGTTGTATATCCAGCAATTTGAACAATAGCTCTATCATCTATTTTCTTTGCGACAAATACCCTAAACTACCTTTTTTTTAATGATTCCATATACTACTTTTTGAAGTTTATTTATTTATTTAAATTTCTGATCTCTTTTGCAGGTAACTTTATTTGTAGTAATTGCTATAAATAATAACTCAGGAAAATATGAAAAACAGAAAACGAGGCTTGAAACCGTTAAAATATCCAGTAATTTGAAAAACAACATTCTTTTTTGTGATAAATACCATAAAATGGTCATAACCTTTTTTTAGATTATTTAATTTCATACCTATTTTGTATGTAACTTTTTTTTCTAGTAGTTCAGAGGCTGAGAACCTTCTAGAAAACATTTTTTTCCATTTACCTAATTTTACGAATTTTCCTAGACTATAAATGATAACACAGGAAAAATTTTAATAAAAAACAGGTAAACGTGCTTGAAACTGATAAATATTTAGTAACTTGAAAAACACCAATATCATTGTGTTTTCTTTGCAACAAATACCATAAACTTCCCAGAGATTTTATACTTTTTTGGAGTCTAAATTCAAAATGGCGTCATGAGCAGCATTGGTAAACTCACAGTAAAAAATAGCCATAACCTTTTTATAGATTATTTAATTTCCTATCTATTTTGTAGGTAACTTTTTCTAGTAGTTTAGAACCTGTGAGACATTTTTTTTACAATTTTTTTAGTAGTTCAGGAGCTGAAAATTTTCTAGGAGACATTTTTTTCCTTTTACATATTTTGCGAAATTTTCCCAAACTATAAATTATAGCACAGGAAAATTTGAATAAAAAACAGAAAAAGGGGTTTGAAAGCGATATTAAGTATTTTCTTTGTCAAATGGCGTCATGAGTGGGATGGGAAAACTCACTCCAAAAAACGATCATAACCTATTTTTTAGTTTATTTAATTTATTATCTATTATAACTTATTTCTAGTATTTGTTCTATTTAATTTTTTTGCTTCATTTTCCTGGATTATAAAAAATGGTACCTTTTCGTAATAGCACGGGAAAACTTAAATAAAAATCATAAAAAGTGCTAAACTAGTAAATAAAACAAAAACAACTCACTGTTCAGGATTGATATTCTTCAACCAAGCGGCTTTGAGGGCGTCCTCTGCCGTTATCCTTTTATCGGGATCCAATTCCAACATTTTATCCAACAAATCCAACGCCGAATTGGGCATGAACACGAAATCCTCCCTCAACCGTCGCCTGTGCAACTTGTTGGGCTTGAGCGTGTGAAAGAGGGGCAGTTTGATCACAGATGGCCATACGGCCGGCGTGGGTGTGCCGCACACCCGCGATATCCTGTCCAGCTGCATCATTTCGGCGTTTGCCTAAAATTTAAAACAACTATAATATCAATGTATGTTTTTTAAAATTAAATCTATCGAGACTCAATTTGTTTTCTTTAAAATTAGTTCTAGGGATTGTCCTATGTAAGTTCGTCGTCTTACCTGGAACAGCGGTTTTTTAAGGAACAATTCTCCGAGTATACAGCCGCAACTCCATATATCTATGGCAGGACCGTATCTTTCTTCGCCTAGTAACAATTCGGGCGGCCTATACCACAGGGTGATCACTTTGTTGGTGTACGGCCTTTGTCGATCTTCGGCGTTGTATAATCGCGCTAAACCAAAATCGGCCAATTTTACTTCACCCCTAAAACGAAACGTTTAATAATAAAATAATAAATTGACGAAAGAAATCGCGACCTACTTGTTATTCATTAAAATGTTGCTGCACTTGATGTCTCTATGCAGAAAGTTCTTTTTGTGACAGTAATTTAAACCGTCCAAAAGCTGTTTCATAATACATGCGTTATTCAGCTCGTTGAAATCGACCATTCCCGATTCCAACAGACCCATCAAATCGTGATCCATGTATTCAAAGACTAGATAAAATGATCCCTTTTCCTAAAAACAAACATCGAACAGTGACATTAAATTTGTCATATGTCACATAAAATGACATCTAATAAGTGAAATTTCAAATAAAATTTCATTAAACAAGTGGAATTTAAAATAAAATGACATTAAATTTATGGAATTTCAAATAAAATGTCAATAAACAGGTGTAATTTCAAATAAAATGACATTAGACAAGTGGAATTTCAAATAAAATAACAGTAAACATGTCCAATGTATAATAAAAATGACATTAAACATGTCAAATGTATAATACAAACAAATTAAAAACATCACATGAGAAGGCATGCCGAAATAGGCAAAATCGTGAATGAATGTATTAAAGGGTTGGAAAATTTCATATGTGCTAAAAAATGCAAAATTATTTGTAAAGCGATCAGAAAATGATAATGAACTGTCACAAAACACATTTTTTCTAAATGCTTAATTAAATAGATTGACGTCAATAAAATGACATTAAAGAGTTGGATTTACTAACAAAATGACAATAAACAACTGGAAATTCAAATAAAATGACACTAAACAAGTGGAATTTCAAATAAAATGACTAATTTTTTTCTAAACGCTTAATTAAATATTAAATTGAGTGACGTCAAAAAATGACATTAGAGAGCTGGAACTTCAAATAAAATGACATTAAACAACTGGAATTTCAAATAAAGTGGCAATAAATAAGTGGAATTTCAAATAAAATGACATTAAACAAGTGGAATTTCAAATGAAATGACATTAAACAAGTGGAATTTCAAATAAAATGACATTAAATAGGTGGAATTACAAATAAAAATTTTAAGCAGGTGAAATTTCAAATAAAATGTTCAATAGATGAAATTTCAGAAAAAATGACTTTAATTGTGTCAAATATAAAAAAAAGTGATACGAAAGTAAAACAAATTAAAAATATCGCACGAGGAAGATCTACTCATTAAATTGGTTGACATTAATAAAATTACCCTAAACAGGTGGAATTTCAAATAAAATGGCATTAAATAAGCGGAATGTCAAATAAAACGACATTAAACAACTAGAATTTCGAATATAAATATATAAATTATGACAAATGTAAAATAAAATGACATAATAAAACAAATTTAAAAAATCAAATGAGAACGATCTAAAACTGACACCATGAATAAAAGTACAATAATGTTGTATAATGTCAAAAAAATGTACAAATGTCAAATTCTTTGTAAAATGATAAGAAAATGATACTTTTCTAAATGCTTACTAAAAGATAAAATTGGTTGATGTGAATGAAATGAAATTAAACATGTAAAATTTTAAATAAAATGACATTAATCAGTCGAATTTCAAATAAAATGACATTAAATAGGTGAAATTTCAAATAAAACGACATTAAACACGTAAAAATTTGAATTATAACGACATTAAACTGATAGAATTCAAATAAAATGACATTAAATAGATGGAATTTCAAATAAAACGACTTTAAGCTGGTAGAATTTCAAATAAAATGACATTAAATAGGTGGAATTTCAAATAACATGACATTGAAAAGGTGAAATTTCTAATAAAACGACACTAAACGGATGGAATTTCAAATAAAATATCAAAAAATACGGGCAATTTGAAATAAAATATGTCAAATATAAAATAAAAATTACACAAAAGTAAAACAAATTAAAAATATCAAATGAGTGGTCTAAAACTAGTTAAATTGGTTGACGTTAATAAAATGACATAAAACAGGTAGAATTTCAAATAAAATGACATTAAATAGGAGGAAGAATATCAAATAAAATGACATTCAAGAGGTAAAATTTAAAATAGAATTACAATTATACGTGCAATTTTAAATAAAACGACATTAAACAACTAAATTTCGAATAAAATGACATTAATTATGTCAAATGTAAAATAAAAATGACCTAAGAGTAGAACCTATTTAAAAAATGAAATGAGAAAAAATTAAAACTGGTTCAAATTCTTTGTAAAACGATAGTAAAATGATAATAAACGATCATAAAAAACAAATGTTTTGCTAAATGTTTAATACAATATTATTAAATTGGTTGACGTCAATATAAAGGCATTAAAAGTATGGAACGTCAAATAAAATGGCATAAGATAAATTAATATAAATGACGATAAACTGTCAATGAAGTCACAAAATATTTGACAAATAAAATAAAACATCTAAACAACTAGTAATAATGCTAATAAAATATCAATAAATGAACAAAACATTAATGAGATGCCAAAAAATTACATTAAAACTACAAATCAACTAAAATGACAAAATTATAAAACGTCAATTAGACAGGCATAAGATTGTATTCATACTAACAAAATAACAATGAAACTTCAAAAAACGAATAATACGTTCGTCAGATGCCAAATAAAATGTTATTGAAATGAAATGACAGAGGAGCTGAAAAAAGTAAAAAAAAAAAACTACAAAATTTTTTAAATAACGTCAATAAAAATGATATAATAGCTGAAAAATGTCCAATGCACAGTAAAATGTTCATGGGTGACTCAAGAGAAGTAAAAATTACTTCAGAATGTCAATAAGATGACATTAGCTAATAAAATGACAATAAACCAATTAAAAGTTTGCCAGGTATCAAATAAAGTATTATTGAAAGAGAACATTAAACAAAATGACATAGGAGCTGGAAAATGTCAAATAAACCATAAAACTTCAATCAAAATTATGTAAAATTGATTAAATAATGCCAATAAAATGACATAATAGCTGGAAAATATCAAATGCACAGTAAAATGTTAATCAGTGACTTAAGACTATACTCTGTTTTTAAACTAGGAGGAGCGAATTGAAAAGACGCATTTACACAGTGAAAAGTAACTAGATTTGTTACTAAGAGCGAGTTTAGAAATATAGTCGTGTTCAAAATTTATGAAATAATTATCTTTATCGGCCTTAGTCGGTGAACGGCCAATGAGCGGTTAAGAAACGAATAAATGTCATAGAAGTAATTTTTAATTGGTCCCAGACAACGGTCGCAAATTTCACATTATTGTGATCTGAAATGTGTGTCTAAAACGAAATGTCACTGTCAAATTAAAGTCAATATGGTTGTTGATTGATGTCAGAAATAATTTTTTCTTGCTTTTGAAATCGACTTTTTGAGAATAACTATGATCTTTTTAAAATGGATATTACATATTTAAGAAAATTTTTAATGGCATATCCAGATGTAGCCAGGTTAGTATAAAATATAAAGATCTGTTTACATTTTTAAGGATATATTTGTTATAGGTATAAAAAGTAAAAGTTAATCAGTGAATGACAAGTGGATCACACAGTAGCTGGTATCTCTTCTATGAGTAATGTGGATATTATGGCTTATTTAGTGTTAACCCATGGTTAATGCGCTAGAGGCCGAATAAAGGCATTCAAAAGTTTACAGGCCTATGAGTCAGAATTTGTTTTGAAAACTGGAACCAACATTTTCATAACACTACATGTTAACATATATTTTTTAAAGTGAACTATTCATACATACCTATGTATTAATTTTAAGTATTTTTAAAATATTTTTTGTGAAAGTAATGTTAACTCATTGTGCCAAATTAAGATGGTCCCTAAAGTAGTAGATGGTGTTTTAAATGTTATAACAATTTTGTAAATAGTTTTATTCTATTCTAATAAATAAAATTTGCTTGAATATTTAGTTACATTTTAATCATTTTGGTTAGAAATTCATCAATTTTGTTTTAAAAAATCAGTAATAAAATTATTTTTTTCTAAAATACTTCGGAATTCATCTCTTCATGGTAATCTCCCATCTTTTTACCTTCAAAAACCAATAATGCATTTTCTACAAAACCTTCAGAATCAGCATGTAATAAGGTGTCTTCCCTTTCTTGTAAGGCTTTTCAGGAATTGCTACCTTTAATAGTACTTAGTGTAGAAGGATCCATAATTGTAGATTTTCAACACAATTGCTTACTGAAGAACTATTATTTACGAAATAAAGTAAAAAACTAAGCAATGGATGAGATATCAAATTATAAAATGTCAGAACTGTCAACAATATTAATTATTAGCTGATGTTCATGCTAAAAAGTAATGTGTGAAACTGACTGTAATCTGACCAATCAGAAGGCTACAGAATTGCCAACTTAAATTCAAATCGCTCCTCTTAGTTTAAAAACAGAGTATAGTACAAATTAAATCAGAACGTCAATAAAATGAAATTAAATTTTCAGTAAAGGATTAAACAATTGTCAAAGATGCGACAGATAAAAAAAGACCAGTAAAATGACAAATATCGAAATAAAGTACTAGTAATTAAAAAAAACTTACCCTTCTAAAATCGACGGCATCCTGTTTATCGGTAACGATCTCCCTCAAATTAACGATATTTTTATGATTAAGTTGTCTAAGAATCTTAATCTCTCTAACGGCAGTGATCGGAAAACCTTCCTTCTCGTTTTCCAACCTCACCTTCTTCAAAGCGACCAACTCGTTGGCCGATACATCTTTGGCTTTGTACACTTGGCCGTAAGTACCTAAAAAAAAAGATTCGATCAGAATCGGTAGCGAATTTTAAACTGAATAAACTGAATAAGTGGACCGGGTGCGGATCCTCGAGGTTTACCTTCTCCGATTTGAGCGATGACTTCGAACATATCGACGCATCTCTCGCCCCAATCCTTGCCGCACATCTGGAAATTCCTGGAACCTTTCCTTTTCAGTATGGTCGGCCTTTTGACGGGCAGTTTTGGTTTGGGGGATGGTTTCGGTTTCTCTATGACGGGTTTTACGTTATTTCTCGGCGGAGTGCCGGGCAGTTCTTCATCTCCACTCAGTTCTTCAGTACCAGGAACAACTGTCATTGAAATAATAATCATAAGAAAGTGTAACGAACGACATACTACACTGCTTAACAGATACAATTTTTTTGGTACAGAACGTACACCATGTTTTTGCTAGAAAAAATCGAAAGGGAATTGACAAGACATTCAAAAATTATGTAGAAAAAGATAATTTAATGGCAACAAACCTTAAGAAGTATCGTTTTGTTGTGACAACGATTAAAAGGGATTATTATTGCTACAAAACGTCTGTAATAATCATTTACTGCTACAAATCGTTGAAAATGTTACTGCTTTAAAGTAAAACGTTATGGTTGCAACAACCTTAAAACAGATAAATTAGATTGCTACAAAACGTCTAATCTACTTATTTTACTAAAAACGTCAAATATTAAATAAAAACGCCTACTAAATGATAATTGGTCTTACTTGAGACAAAACGTTGAAAAAAAAAAAAAAGATTTTAAAATGCGTTTATGTCTGTTTTTGCAACAAAACTTCATAAATGTAGTTTTAAAATTTTGTGTTATTACCATTTATTGTAAAAAACGACAATTTTGGCCTGCACAGTTTTATTGTGAAATATAACGATTAAAACGCCTCATTTTTGCTACAAATCGTCTATAACATCGCGTTTATGCTACAAAACATTGAAAATGTTATTGCTTTAAATTAAAACGTAGCAATGATCTTAAAACGATAAATTACATTGCAACAAAACATCTAAATATAATTATTTACAACAAAAAACGTTCTAAACTAACTAAAATCGATAATTGGTCTTACTCAGTGGGACAAAACGTTCAAAAAGAGGATTTTAAAATGCATTTATAACGTCTGTTTTTACAATAAAACTTCGTGTCTATTGCTTTAAAATTTTAAAAGTATCGTTATCTTTTTTTTGTAGGAAAAGACAATTTTCTGCATATTTTTATTGTGACATATAAAGATTAAAACGCCTGATTATTGCTACAAATCATCTATAAAAATAGTTTATTGCTACAAAACTTTGAAAATTGTATAACTTTAAATTATAACCTTGTTGTAGCTACAATCTAAAAAACGACAAATAATATTGCTACAAAACGCCTAAATGTATTTTTATTAAAAATAGCCTAAATATATTTTTTTTCCAAAAAAAAAAAGGTCAAAATTAAATAAAAACGCCTATTACATTTTAATTGGTCTTATTGAGATAAAACGTCAAATAAGTCCATTTTAAATTGCGTTTATGATGTATGCTTTTGTAATAAAACTTCATATGTTGCTTTAAAGTGTAAAAATAGTAGAAAACCACAATTTTGTAGTGAAAAACCTTTAGAAGCATCATTTCACTATGACAACGATTAAAACGACTGCTTCTTGCTACAAAACATCTATAACAATCCTTTGTTGCTACAAAACGGTGAAAATGTTATTACTTTAAATTATAATGGTGTTACTGTAGCAAAAACCTTAAATGCGATAAATTGCATTGAAACAAAACGTCTAAATGTCTTACTTATTGAGACAAAACGTTCAATAAGACACTTTAAAAATGCGTTTATGACGTATATTTTTGTAACAAAACTTCATATCTGTTGCTTTCAAATGTAAAAATAGTAGAAAACGACAATTTTGTAGCAACAAACCTTCGGAATCATCGTTTCTTGTGACATATGATTAGAATCTGATTCTTGCTACAAAACATCTATAACAATCGTTTGTTGCTACAAAACGTCTATAACAATCGTTTGTTGTTACAAAACGTTGATAATGTTTTAAATTATAACGCTGATATGGTAGCAACAACCTTAAAAACGATAAATTAAATCGCTACAAAACGTTTAATTAAATGTACCTTTTTTGCTCTAAAAATTAAAAGTTAACTAAAATCGTCCATTAAATTCATACTCAATGAGACAAAACGTTAAAAAAAAACGATTTTAAAAACGCGTTTATGACGTCTTTTTTGGCAACAAAACTTAACACATGTTGCTTTAAAATTTTAAGTTTTCTTTTTTGTAGAAAACGACAATTTTGGCGTGCATAGTTTTATTGTGACATATGATTAAAATGTCTTTAACAAGTGGTTTTTGTTACAAAACGGTAAAAAAAAAATTAATTGCTACAAAACGTGAACTCTTAACTAAAAATCGTCAAAAACCAACTAAAATCGTTCATTAAATGATTGTTACTCTTTTTTTGTAATGAGAAATATTAAAAACAGTGTTGTCATTATAAAATGGTGCGAAAAATCGATTATGTAGCGACAAAACCTTCAGAAATCTCGTTTTATTGTGACATATAACGACTAAAACGTGCGATTGCTACAAAAAACCTACAGCGTAATTTTTTGCTAGAAAACGTCGATATTGTTATATGCTTAAAATTAACACTGTTACATTGGTACAAAACGTCAAAATATACATTTTTTTGGTTAACAAAAACAAAAAAACGTTTTTTTTTTTACAAAAAAGTAAGGATATCATACCTGGCGGCATAGGAAGGTCCTTAATGTTCTTCCTAGGCGGCGTCTTCGGCCGCGCGTTGACGTTTTTAATCGCCGGCAACGGACTAGGCGATCTATTAGGCGTAGGCGGCGACACAATAGCCTCCAACTGCGTCTGATCGATGCCCGGAGGTAACGGCAACTTAGTCACGCTCTTTGGTTTGTTGTTGGTGGCGCCGCCGCTGTTGACGGATGGTGTCGACACCAGAATACCCTCGGTAACAACCACAGATGGTCCCGTTGTAACGATGGTCGGAATCGACGTCGCTTGGTTGTTGGAAATGGGGGCGGGCAGAGGCGGCGTTGGGGGAGTTTTCGGTTTATCGACACCATCATAGCCGTCCGATTTGCTGTTCGGTAACTGGATATCGTTTAATTTTGTTGGTCTGTTATCATCCGGGATGGGTATATCGTCTATGTCCATCGCGATGGGGGTTTGAACGTTCTCTTTGTTTTCTAGAAGAGAATATTTACATTTTAATGGGCACCAGATCAGGATTATTAGGGATACATTGGGGACTAACCACCCAAGGCGAAAAGATATGTAGATTGAACTGAAGATGGTAGACGACAGGGTGCAAATGGCTTTACTTACCGGTTTTGTTGTTCGAATCCACGTCGTTCGAGTTGGTGTCATCGTCTTTTTTCTGTTCCATTTGTTCGGCCAATTTTTTGAGTTCCATCTCTCTCTTTCGTCGGTCCTTTACCATTTCGGCGAATAGACTAGCATCGGTGATTTTGTTTTTCAGTGATGATGATTTTACGGAATGCGGGGAGGGGCTCTTGTGCCTGTACCTGCGGTGATTCGAATAGGACGTGAGATTTAAAGAAATATCGGTCGTTGAATAAGTTGTGGTGCTTAGTAATTGATAAGGATAACATTGCATTAGTAATGTAAAAATAAACAGGACAAAAAACGAAGAAGGAAAATTTAAGACCGCCATTAAAAACAGTAAAAAGCAACACTTCTATCAAAAATTGTTTAAATAAAACAACATATTTGTTTGCCTTAAAATGTAAAAATTACCTTTAATTTACGATTTATGTAGCGAGGGACCTTCATTTTCATTATAAAAACTAGACGTCCAAACTTAACTAAAATCGCGTATTAAATGATAATTGTTGTCACTCATTGAGACAAAACGTTCAAAACGACGATTTTAAAATGTTTTTAAGAGATATCTTCGAATAAACCGTCCGCGTTATAAAAACGATGATTTTGTAGTGACAAAACTTCTAAAGCATCGTTTTATTGTGTCATATTCTTGCTACAAAACGTTTATAACATTAGGGATTTTGGCTACAAAACGTTGTTATGGTAGTAGCAATCTTAAAACGTTAATTATATTACTATAAAACATCTAAATGTATTTTTGCTAAAAAACGTCCAAAGTTAACAAAAAATCGCGTATTAAATAATAATTGGTGTTACTTATTGAAACAAAACGTGCAAAACGACGATTTTAAAATGTTTTTATGATATATGTTTATATATAAAATGTTTCTCTTTTTGCAACGAAACGCCATATTAGTCGCTTGAAAACGTCAAAAGTTACATTTAATTTTAAAAGTCTCACGATTTTTGTAATGAGATACCTTCATATTTGTTTTAAAAACTGGACATCCAAAATTAATTAAAATTTCGTATTAAATATTAATTATTCTAACTCATTGAGACAAAATGCGAAAAACAACGATTTTAGAATGTGCTTATGATGTATGTTTTTGCAACAAAACTTTATATTTGATGCTTTAAAATGTTCAGTGTCGATAGCGAAGTATCTTCAAAAACATCGTCCTCGTTATAAAAACATTTAAAACAATGATTTTGTAGCAACAAAACTTCAAAAGAATCGTTTTATTGTGACATACAATGACTAGTATGTCATATTCTTGCTACAAAACGTCTATAACATTAGGGCGTTTTGCTACAAAACGTTGAAAATGTAAAAATACTTTAAATTAAAATGTTATGGTAGTAGTAGCAATCTTAAAAAGATAATTATATTGCTACAAAACGTCTAAATTATTTTTTTTTTACTAAGAAACGTCCAAAATTTACTAAAGCGAGTATTAAATGATCATTGGTCTTACTCATTGAGAAAAACGTTCAAAAAGACGATTTTTAACAAAGTTAACAATCTCAAAGCGCGATTAATTATATTGCTACAAAACGTCTAAATGTACTTAAGTACAAAAAAATGTCAAAAAATAAATAAAAATGCCAATTAAATAAAAATTGGTCTTACTTATTGAGACAGAACGTTTAAAAAGACGATTTTAAAATGCGTTTATGACGTCGGTTTTTGCAACAAAACTTCATCTGTGACTTTTAAATGTTAAAAGTTCGTTACCATTTTTTGTAGAAAACGACAATTTTGTAGCGACAAACATTCAGAAGCATCGTTTTATTGTGACATATTACGATTAAAACGCATGATTCCTGCTACAAAACGTCTATAACGATCTTTTTTTTACAAAAAGTTGAAAATGTTATTGCTTTAAATTAAAATGTTCTTATGATAGTAACAACCTTAAAAACGATAAATTACATTGCTACAAAACACTTATAAAAATTAACTAAAGAGCTTACGCATCGAGACAAAACGTTTAAAAAGACGATTTTAAAAAGTATTATAAAGTGTGTTTTTGCAACAAACCTTTACATTTGTTACTTTGAAATTTTAAACATGTCAGTTAACTATTTTTGTATAAAACGACAAGTTTGTCCTGCATAGTTTATTGTGACATATAACGAAAAATGCCTGTTTCTTGCTACAAATCGTCTATAACAATCGTTTATTGTTACAGAATGTTGAAAATATATATTTTTTTAATTTATAACGTTGTTATGGTAGCGACTAAAACGTCCTATTCTTGCTACAAAAAGTTAGGATTTTTTGCTAAAAAACTTTGAAGCAACAATCTAAAAGCGCGATTAATTATAACGCTACAAAACGTCTAAAATTATTTAAATACAAAAAATGTCAAAAAATTAAATAAAATAAAAAATAATTGGTCTTACTTATAATAATAATAATAATAATAATAATACTCTCCCTAATTCACCCCCTTACGAGTGAATTTTAACCCCAAAAGCAGAGCTTGTCCGGGGAAAGGGACGGCTATTATTATTATTTGCCGTGGCGCTCCGGGGCGACTTAAAGATGATTGATGGTGCCATTTGACTTACAGGTGAGGAAAACCCGGAAAACCTCACCCACCATCATGGAAAACCTCACCCACCCACTTATTTAGACAGAACGTCTGACAAGACGATTTTAAAATGCGTTTATGACGTCTTTTTTGCAACAAAACTTCATATATGTGGCTTTTAAATGTTAAAAGTTCGGTACCATTTTTTGCAGAAAACGACAATTTTGTAGCGACAAACCTTCAGAAGCATCGTTTTATTGTGACATATTACGATTAAAACGCCTGATTCCGGCTACAAAACGTCTGTAGCGATCATTTTTTCTACAAAACGTTGAAAATATTATTGCTTTAAATCAAAATTGTATTATAGCAACAAAGCTTAAAAACGATAAATTACAGTGTTACAAAACGACTATAAAAATTAACTAAAATCGGGATTACTCATTAAGACAAAACGTTCAAGAAGATCTGTTGCTTTGAAATTTTAAACGCGTCAGTTAACTATTTTTGTACAAAACGACAAGTTTGGTCTGCATAGTTTTATTGTGACATATAACGATTAAAATGCCTGATTCTTAGTACAAATCGTCTATAACAATCGTTGATTGTTACAAAATGTTGAAAATGTTATTTTAAATTATAACGTTGTTATGGTAGCTACTAAAACGTCCTATTCTTGCTATAAAAAGTATAATATTAGAGTTGTTTGCTACAAAGCGTTAATGCCTTAAATTAAAACGTTATTGTATCAACAATCTTAGAATGACAGTCTACAAAACCTCTAAATATACTTTTTTACTAAAAAACGTTAAAAATTTAATTATAATCGTGATTCAAATGATAATTAGTTTCACACAATGAAACAAGACGTCGGCTAAGAGTGTGTTTATCTTTTTTTTGTAGCAATACCTTCAAAAATACCGTCTAAAACAATGATTTTGTAACAATAAACCTTCAGAAGCATCGTTTTATTGTGACTAAAACGTCCGATTATTACTAAAAAAACGTTTTTGATATAAAATGTTGATGATGTTGCTTTAAATTAGAACGTTATTGTAGCAACAAGCTTAAAACGATAAATTACATAGTTACAAAACGTCTAAATGTATTTTTTTTTTACTAAAAAAATTTCAAAAATTAACTAAAAACGCACATTAAATGATAATTGGTCTTATTTATTAAGACAAAATGTTCAAGAAAACAAATAAAATGCATCTATGACAAAACTTCATATCTTCACGTCGTTTTATTGCTACATAGAAAACGACTACATTTGTTTCGCTACAAAACGTTGATTTGCTTTACTTAAAACGTTGTTACAGTAACAACAATCTTAAAGATATAATTTTTTACAATGCTACAAAACGTCTGAATACACTTCTTTTTTACTAAAAAAAAAATTACGAAAACAACTTTTTCTCTTATACCTGCACCTGTGGAGATTCAAATAGAATGTGAGGCGATAATTGTTATAGTAATATGAAAATAAGCATAACAAAAACGAAGAGAAGGGAAAATTTAAATACCAACATTAGAATCAATAAAAAAATCTTACCTCGGACTCTTATCTTTCCTGGGACTCCTCGACCTGTGCCTTTTACTACTCCGCCTCGTCGGAGACGGACTTGTATAGTGCCTACCTCTTCCGTAGCTCGACGACCTAGATCTCCTCCTTGATACGGGACTGCGACTCCTAGAATACCTTATCATAAACAAACACAAAGCATACTATTATCAGTTTTGTAAATTAGTTAATAAAAAGGCCAAATTTCATACGTAATTTGTGGCGATTAAGAATTATGTGTGATGTATCAGACATAAAATACTATTATTCGTTTATGGTTTTTACAATGCAACATTACAATGGTTTAAAAAACATTTATTAGACAGAAGACAAATAATAGATGTTTCAAAAGTTATTATTTTAATTCGTACCTAGCTTTCTCCTTCAGCCTGGCCTTTTCCTTCTTGTGTTTCCTATGCAGCATCTCCCTTTCCAGCCTCCGTTTCCGGCTGCTGGGCGACATGGAACGATGCTTGTAATGCGAATGCATCATCGTCTCCGGCGTCGTACCCCTGAAAGGCGACCTCATCGGCGGCGAACCGACGTCGTCGATAATTATCGGCGAATCCCTTATTCGAATGGGCTCATCGAAATGATGATTATACCTTAAATAGATCAAAATCATACATGAAATAAATAGAGGGTCGGAAACGCGTCCTTGCGGTACGCTCGCGGTTTTTTACCTCGTCGAATGATGGAGCGGCGGGGTGTGCGGTGACTCTCTGGTCGCGTATTCCCTTGCCGAATAGTCCCGAAGGTATTTCCGGGGAGGGGTTTCGGAGGGGGGCGTGGGGCTGCGTACCTCGTACGTTTCGGGGGACGCTATGCTATCGTTGGAGACCGGCGAACATGCTCCTGTGTCTATCGCCGTCTGAAAGGTCGTTCGTTAATATTTTTTTGTGTATATATAGGATGTCCCAAATTTTAGCTGGTAAATTTAAAAGTTATAGGGTAGATTAAATGAGAGAAGTTTTTTGTAGACAGATTCTAAGTTTTTTTGTTAGTTTTTAAGTATTTTGAGGAATGTTAAAAATGAAATTTTCTTCCATTTCTAAGCACTTTCTCTCCTCTACTATCTAAATATATAAAATCGTTTGTCATGTCTGACTGACTGATCTATCACTGCAGGGCCAAAACTACTAAGTCTAGAAAATTGAAATTTGGAACATCAGTTTATTTTATAACGTAAGTATCGGTTAAGAAAGAATTTTTGAAAATTTAATATTTAAGGGAGGGGGGGGGGGAGAAAACGTTGTATAAAAGTATTTGTTCTTTGAAGTTAGAAACATAAAAATAAATAATGACGTGTTACAGGGTTTTTGGATTTCATACATTTTTTTAAAGGTAGGAACTAAAGGTTTTTGGATTTTCACAATTTAAGGAGGGGAGAAATGGGGGGAAAAGTTTGTATGAGAGTATCATAAAAATGAATAGAAATGAATGGAAATGAATGGAAATGAATGGAAATGAATGGAAATGAATGGAAATGAATGGAAATGGATAGAAATGGATAGAAATGAATAGAAATGAATAGAAATGAATAGAAATGAATAGAAATGAATAGAAATGAATAGAAATGAATAGAAATGAATAGAAATGAATAGAAATGAATAGAAATGAATAGAAATGAATAGAAATGAATAGAAATGAATAGAAATGAATAGAAATGAATAGAAATGAATAGAAATGAATAGAAATGAATAGAAATGAATAGAAATGAATAGAAACAAACAAAAGACACATAAATATATAAATAAGAATAAACAAAAATAAAAAAAATATATATTAAAACCACAACTCCATATGTTCAAAGCCGTGGTCAACAGTTAGCATGATTTGTTTTTGAGTACGACGACGTTTCGTTTTTTGGGCCCATCATCAACCTTTTTTTTAATAAGGGCCTGATGTTTTTATACCGATTTCAATAGGAACTAACACAACTTTGTGCTATAATTGACCATTTTAGAAGTTTCGAACATTAAAAACATCATCAGTTTAAAATTTAAATTAGGCGAAATATGAATTCCTAATAAAACTTCCCTTGAAATGCATTTTGAACATGTTGCGTTGATTCATGGCCGGCACTGCATAATAAATTTCGAAAATCATTTTTGCAACAAGAAACTATTTCAAACAAGACTTTAATTTTTAGCCACTCAAAATACGAAGACAATTGGTCAAACGACGTCACAAGATGCAACGCGAGTTCATCCTACTTTTCGATGCCAGATCGCTGCATACCTTGCACCAATGTGTATCTCATTTTATTTTGCCCCTGGAAATAGTCGGCACTTTCATACAAATGTAACACAAAAATTATTAAGTATTTTGTGAACAAATCAACAAAGGTTAATCTAGTTACTGCTTAATGTTGTTGTAACACGGTATATTAATCCTGTGAAAGCTATAAGTGTTTATTAACATGTGGCATTCAACATCGTCTACAAGAAATCACCAGATCTACTGGTACTTAAAATAACAGATTACAGTCCACTTGAACTTTGGTCCAAAAACAGGTAGGTATTAAACAATGTGTTATAATTGAAGGGGTAAGTGGATGAAGGGGCTATGTTATAAAAAAATAATTTTTAAGCAATTAACTATTTAATTAGATTCATTGGCATTTTTAGTGAAAAATGTCTTTAAAATTCGTTTTTGTGAGTTGGTAAGAGTGATTATGAACTAATTAGACGCACAAGACCAGACCAAAGTAAGACACATATAAACTTAATTAATTCTTCATCAACAAAAAAATATAAATAAAAATGTCACATAACCCCTTCATCCACTTATCCCTTCAATTGGTACCAGTCTTACAGTACCGTTATAGCCCAACCGAGATTCCAATACATTCAGCTAAAATTTGGGACACCCTGTATAAATAAAAAAGTTATGATCCGTTAATAAATGGGTCACAGTGTACCACTACCAGTTTTAATATGTACAATTATTTCAAAATGATAGAAATAATAGCATTTGCAAAATAAGCCTACTCACCTTATGCTCAGAGGACTTCTTAGAACCATCATGATGTTCCCAATCCGATAGAGCCTCAATTTCAGGCCTAGGAGGCGTCTTCTTGGGCGAACTATCTTGCGATTCAACAGATTCACTTTCTGAAACATAAATTTAAAATAGTTTCCGCACAAATTTATCACAAAAATATAAAACCTACCGTAACTAGTACTCCTAGATCTGTGCTTGCTTTTCCTCTTCTTTTTCTTGGTTTTCTTCTCTTTCTTGTGACGTTTATCTTTCTTTTTTCGCTTCTTCCTGTCGATGCTGTCGTAGTCTTCGGTGTAGGTGGGCGAACCGCCTACCGGCGCAACGTATTCGGTCGGCGATGATTCTTCGACCTTACGTTTGTGTTTCACCTCGCTAGATCTAGAGGAACGCGACGAGATCGACAGTTGTCGTTCTCTGATCAAAATCGGAGGTGTCGGGGACCTGGGGATCATCGATGGATCCAAACGGTGCCGCCTGCCTGAAAATTTCGCAAAATATCCTATTTTATCGTTCAATACTGGTAAATTTTATAACGAATTTGTTAAAACGAATATTTACATAATCAATGACTCAAAAATGACAAGAAAAAAATTATATACGTGCTACAATAATGTTTCTGGTACCAACAATTTAGACATTATTAAATTATTTATGGGTTAGAGGCCATTAAAACAATACAATAATTCAGAATACGAGGATGGTACCATTCAAATCAATAGATGTAGTCACCGCGCATCGATAGTACTGAAAGCGCTGTAAGTTTAAAGTGGTTAAAACTAGTTTAAAATTCGTTTTACCACATTTGTAATAGAACATGTTCTCCCTTCAGATCAAGTTTTATTTATTGTTAGTGTAGTTTAGTGTTAAAAATGCATTTTTGAATTAAAATACACGTCCTTAGCAACATTATTGAGACAAAAAACTCGTTTCTTTCTTATCTATTATCTACGAAGCTTGCTGCCAGTGGCGTACACGGCGCGAGGATTTTTAAGTTAAAATAACTAAGACAATATAATATGGATTGTTTCCTGTGCAAAGTTATAAAACAATCAATTAAGGATTTAAAACTTCCTTGTTTCCCATGTGATGGCTGCAAAAATCTAGTATGTATAGAATGTAGTGAGTTATGTACATCAGAATTAAAGTGCATACCTCTACAAAAACGTACACTAAAGTTTAACTGCAAGAAATGTAGGAATTTTGAGTTCATAGACATTTTAAAATCCACAATAGCTGATAAAAATAAAATCATCGAAGACCAGGAATTAATTATAAAACTTTTGAAAGAAAAAATTGAAAATTTGGACAAGCATAAGGTTAGTTACTCTAGTGTTTTGGAACAAGACAAGGTAACCACAACTGGTATGGCAGTCAAATCTAACCTTCCTAAATTAATAGTTAGATCAAAGAAGAAGCAGTCACATGATCAAACAAAAAAAGATATATTATCTAAGATTAATCTGGCAAAACTCAAAATCGGAGTAACTAACATAAAACAAAGCAAATCTGGTAATATTGAAATCAAGTGTCAAAATAAAGGCGAGTTGAATATATTAAAGGAGGCTTTCCATAACACACTTAAAGATGAATATGATACGGAATTGAGTAAATTAAAACTGTCAAGAATTAAAATCGTTAATGTAACTCAGGATTTAACCAATGAGGGAATAGAAGATTTTGTAAAAGATCAAAACGGAATAAGTGGGGAGGTAAAAGTTAATTTTATCAGAAAAAATACCAAAAAAATCATCTATGAATGCACACCCAATGCATTTCATCAGATTATAAACATGAAGATTTGTCTAGGTTGGGAAAGGTACGCAGTATATGAAGATTTAGAAATACCATGATGTTTTGTCAACAATTTTATCAAAAAAAAGTGAATACAAGAACAGAATGGTTTGTCTCAAATGCTCTGAAGAACCTAAAAGAAGAATGTCCCAAACAGGAAAAATTCTGCATGAAATGTCATTTATCTAACCGTAATTACAACACAAACCACGCCACTGGACACCAAAGGTGACCAGGAGTGCCCAACTTTTAAATTCCATATAAACATTTTAAAGAGCAAGATAGGCTATCTAGAATAGAACTTTTTATAATTTTTTTTATCTATTCTTTTATTTTTATATTTAAAATGTTTAGACTTTGTAATTTAAACGTTAGTTCTCTTGTGGCAAATTTTGATGAATTTCTGAGGTTGGTAAATGAGCTTGACTGTATTGCTATTACTGAAACGTGGTTGTCTGCATCTCAATTCCTGGATTAAATTTTTACCGACTTTATAGACAATCTAAAGGTGGTGGTGGTGTTGGTCTTTATTTAAATAATTATATTACTGGTTTACAATTAGTTGAATTTAATTCCTCCGACTTAAACTGTGAGCAAATGTGGATTAAATTTACGATAAACGATTTTCGCGTTTGCATTGGAATTATATATCGACCACCTAAAGGTAATGTGTCCCTTTTTATTGATAATATTGATTCTACTTTGTCAAAAATTCTGCCTACAGTTGATCACATTATTTGCGTAGGTGACATAAATATTGATTTGTTGACAAATGATAATCCATCTTGTTTTGATGCATACGACTTATATCAATCTATAACTGAACCTACTAGAATAACATCCATCTCGATGACTCTGCTTGATCCTATTTATATAAATGATTCTAGTTTAGTAAAAAAACCAGGTGTAAACCAAACAAATTTTTCTGACCATGGGTACTCTTTCTGTAGTTTGAAATTTTCAAAAATAAGAAAATGGAGATTTTAAAAATTTGACTGACAGTTTTTACAATGATTTAATAATTACTCCATTTCATGAAATGTTCAATATTGAAAATATTTATGATAAAGTGCAGCTTCTCACAGACCATATTATGCTCTTGTTTGATAAAAATGCGCCATTGAAAACTATAGTATTACTAAACCTTATGCACCCTGGTTAACTTATCCAATCAAATTACTAATTAAGGAAAGAAATTTTGCTTTAAGTAAATTTAAGCCAACAAGATTGCACACTGATTGGGATAGGTATAAGGAATTAAGAAATTTCACTCTCATTTATACGTCGTGAAAAAGAGCCTATTTTGACAACCTGTTTAATTCCCATAAATTAAAGGATTTATGGAAGGGTCTAAATAAACTTCAGTCCAGAAAGAAAGAAATATATATAGGATTGACGCACATGCCTTAAATTTGCGAAATCGCCATACTATCGCCATGCCACGACATAGAACTGCCATGTTTCAACGGTCATTTAGCTATAATGTCGCTAAAGTATACAATTCACTAAATACACACTTAAAATCATATTTGAGTACTAGTTCATTTAAAATAATGTTAAAATCATATTTTCTTGGTAGCCAAGCAAATGAAAATATTTAATTCATATTCTATTTTGTTTTATTTAATTCTTGTTCTTAATTTAAATTTGAATTCATCCGTAGACATTCAGCGTAATGTAGAGTAGGTTAGGTTTAAGTTAGTTTTAGGATTTGTGATATGGTTAAGTTGAATGGCCATTTGGCTAGACTACGCCATTTATACTTTGTAAATGTTGTTTTGCTGGTATAATAAAGACGTTTATTATTATTATTATTATTATTATTATTAACCCTACCTATTTTGCTGCAGAAACCTGAATAAATAAATAAGTACTTTTGTTCTGTTTTTGTTGATAATGAAGTAGATGATGACCTATTAGAATATTATAATAATTCAACACTACTTAATTTGCATGGAAACAAACTAGCATTTGATTTTACAACTGTCAGAGAATTTAATAAACTACTCCATATATCAAATCTAATGCCATGGGTTCTGATGATGTGTCAATCTCCATGCTGAAGTACTGTAGTCCACATATTGATAATTACATTACACACCTTCTAAACTGTTGTATTTAAAGAAACTACTTTCCAACGTCTTGGAAAATTGCAACAATTAGACCACTTTGTAAAGATGAACAACCTCAACATTTTTCTGATTTAAGGCCTATTAGTATTCTGACTGCAATGTCTAAAATTCTTGAAAAGGCTATCTATGATTGCCAGGCTGGTTTCTGAAGTAGCTACACTTTGTCAAGTTACTGATGATATTGTAAGAAATATAGACAGAAGACAAATTACAGGACTTGTTGCTTTGGACTATTCCAAAGCATTTGATACTATCAATCACAATCTACTTTGTTTCAAACTAAAATATTTTGGTTTTTCTGAAAATTCTATTCATTTCATTCATTCATATTTGTCTAACCATAGTCAAAAAATTCTTTTAAATAATTAATTTTCTTCATTACAAAACGTAAAGTCTGGTGTGCCATAGGGCTCAATATTAGGAACAATGCTTATTTTATATACCAGTGATATCTTGACATCTGTTCGAAACTGTAAAATACAAGCGTATGCTGATGACACCCAACTTTATTACAACATTGATAGTAATAATTATCAAGTTGCTGAACAAGCCTTAAATGAAGATTTTATTCATAATTTGTCAATTTTAGGCAGCTGAATTTAAACGTGGCCGTACCACGGGAGAAGATGAACGATAGGTACTAGTGATGCCGCGAGACGAGACATTCTCGTCTCTCGTCTCGTCTTGTACGAGACGAGAGACATTTTCTCTCGAAAAAAGATTCGAGACGAGACGAGAGAGTGTCATCTCTCGACGAGAATTTTTCGTTTCTCTCGAGTTCTCTCGCGCAATTAACTTTTTACTTCTTTAAAATTTTCAATTACTTATCGTAACTTAAAATTTAAAAACATCATATTTCCAGATAGTCAAAAAGTTAATTATAAAACACCTATTCTATATACACAGCGAGTTTTAAGTATGGAACGCCTCAATTATTTTGGAAACGGCTTGCATGATTTTTATTTATGGTGATCCGTCAAATGCGCCCCGAAAAAAGCGCTCCGACAAAAGCTCCCAAGACAAAAGCGCCATCCGAAATTTCTTTGTATAAAAAACTAACCAACGGACAGAATCGTAATAATTTCCATGCAGTCAAATTTTTCGGAGGTTACTTTTGGAGATAAGACAATAATTTTTAAGTGTTTTTTCGAAAAACTGTCAAAGAAAAAATAAAAGAAACGAACGTATAATATATTGTTAACATGCTTCAAATTGCTTTCATTTGATATCACACGAAAAAAATTCTAACTTCCAAATGAAACCCTACCCCCTCCCAACTGACTTCTAAGACAAAGTATTTATAGCAGGGGCAGAAGTTGGAAAGACTTTTGTTAGTTCTCCCACTTCATACACATAACTTGACAGGTTTTCGGCGGATCTAACCGAAGTGGACGCGATACATTGGCGTACAAAATTATTTTTTAGATGTTAATAACAATTTCGAGTAAATAGTTTAATAAATTGAGAATAGCTGTTGAAATTTTGTAGAATTATGATTTGGGTATTATAATACATGTTCAATAATTATTTATAGTCCATAAATAAATGAGATTGT